ACGAGCGTCTCATCATCCTCAAACGCAAAAGACCAATCCTCGTCACTATCATAAGCCTCTTCGACACCCTCGATATCGTCACCAGCGTCGTCGGCAGCTAATTGCCGCTCTCTTTCTCTTTCTTCATAACGTTCGATTTCCTATAATTCGTCCTGCGTCAAGTACGGTCGTTCTGGGGGCACGGGGAGCAAGAAGATGCGGGGGAAAGCTCGCTACGCTCCGCCGCCGAGAAGGTGCTCGATTGCGCCTTGGACGTTGCCGCCGCTGCGCCGTAGGGCGGCGACGTTGCGGTCGAACTCGTAGAAGCCCATTTCGTTGAGCTGTCTGAGTTGGACCTCGTAGATTTCCTCAGGTGGCCGGTTGTCTGCTGGGGCTGGTGGGGCACCGAAGCCGCCTGCGCCGCCGAATCCGCCGGGGCCGAAGAGTGCGGCGAAGGGGTTGCCGCCGGCTTGTTGGCCTGCGTCGCCTCCTGGAGCTCCTGCTGCGTCTTGTCCGCCAAAGGCTGCGAATGGGTTCGCTCCTGCGCCTCCTGCGCCGCCCATCATCTGCATCATGTTGCGCATGGCTTCTGGGTCCTGCATCATCCTTTGGGCGGCCGCCGCGAACGGGTTCGCTTGTCCGCCTTGTGCGCCAGCTCCACCAAACAAGTTGGGGAAGGTGCCCGAGGCGTCTTGTGTGTTTTGTGCCGCACCACCCTGTTGCTGAGGAGCCAAAGGATTCTGGCCTCCAGCAAACAGATTGGCGAACGGGTTTGCTCCAGCGCCTGCGGCACCACCGGCTGTACCGAATGCAGAGAATGGATCTGTTGGTCCGGTCGTATTAGGCTGGTTCGGTGTCGCAGTTGTGCCTTCGCCCGTTGCAGTCGAACCTGGCTGTGTAGTGTTGTCGGTAGCTCCTGGGGCTGGGAAACTCGGGCCTGTGGGACCCATATTCCGCCGCATCTGCAGTTGCATGCGCATCATCTCTGGGCTGAACATCATACGGCGCATTTCGGGGTTTCGGAGGACCTGCTGAAGCATCGGGTTGTCGCGGATCTATCTCAGATTAGATAATGCATAGTAGAAAGAAGGAACAAACTTACCATGGGGCTCTGCAGCATCATTTCGACTACTGCTGGGTTGTTCATAGCCTCGTTCATCTGCGATAGAAACATGGGGTTCTCCATTTGCTCTAGTAACGCTTCTGGGTTTGTAGGAGGGCCGCCCATCTACCACGTGTCAGTAAAATGTCCATGTCGAATGTCGGGTTGATCTAGACTTACGCCACCGTCTGGTCCGAAAGTGTCCATGCCTGGTAGGCCGTGGAAGCCGGCATAGCGCGCGCCTGTGAGCCCAGCGAGAGGGTTGTTGCCTGTTCCTGCAGCAATGTTGGTCGGCACCTGTGGCGTCTGGGTGTTGCCCCCGCTTGCTGTGCCTGCCGTGCCTTGGTTTCGTACGTTGCTGGCGGCGCCCTTGACAAGATGGACTGTGTGGCCATCCTTGATCTTGACGCTAGCGAGTGTGTCGTGGTCCTTCAGTACGCGACCGGAGTATATCAGGCGTTGGCGTTCGGCGGGAACATCTGCGTATTCCGACGTCGAGAGCTTGGCCTTGAGGTCGGCAACTGTGGTGGTTTGGGCTAGTGTGAGAACGTGCTTCTGGTCGTTTGCAGCCTTGACGTTGAAGGTGATCTGCGTGTCCTCGGTGGTTGTGGCGGCGTCGTCGGCCATGGTCGCTGATTTACGAGCGTGGGGTAGTGATAGGAAGCTCTACAGGCACTTGGAGGAATAGAGCAGTCTGGGTATGACTGTTGACTGCGAACTGATACGTGTCCTTGGCGAGTGTGAGTGGTGTATAGCAGCAGAGATGTTTGACTGTGCGAGAGGCCGTCATTAGCTTTGGATAGGATTGGAAGGCAGTAGAACGTCACTGGACCCGCACCTGGTACCCTGCCGTTTTTAGCGCGCGCCCGTGCATATCGCGCGGCTTCCGCTGACTAAGACACGCGCGCCAAGCTTCTGGGTGGGGGCAGGAGCGGAGGTTGGCCGGGGAAGCCAGCCGAGGTATCTTTTGAGCGTTGAGTAGCTGTCGGCCGTCATGCAAGCTACAATGGCGCCCGCGTCTGTTCTATCTACCCGAACTCATCTTCGAGCTCCTGACTGAACCTCTCTCATATCCAACAATTGAAGCTGTTTGCTACCATATACATCCGTCAAACCTCAACATGAAAGGCATACAGATCAAGGAATATGTCAACGTAAGTATCCTCATGCCAGGATACCTGCTTCATCTCTAACTCTCCCAGGGACCAGAGGATCTCAAGGTCCTCGATCTCCCGACCCCGACTCCAAAATCGAATGAGTATCTAATCGCCATCCACGCCTCAGCAACCAACTTCTTCGATCTCCTCCAGATCCGCGGCAAATACCAACACCAACCTGCATTCCCCTGGATAGCCGGTTCAGAGTTCTCCGGCGTTGTCCTCAAAGCGCCGACCTCGCTTGCAGGAGGCAAGACACCAAAGTTCAAGGAGGGCGACAAGGTCTTTGGTGCTTCCCAGGGCGGTTACGCAACACACATCGTCTGCACGGAAGAGAGACTCAAGCCTGTACCCGAGGGATGGAGTTTCGAAGATGCTGCTGGTGTATTCGTTACAGCGCCGACGAGCTATGCCGGTCTGGTAACTAGAGCAGGCATCAAGAAGGGTAAGCCATCGGAACTCCGAACCCTGTTATTTTTCCCATGCAGAAGCTAACACTGCTCTGTAGGCGACTGGGTACTCGTCCACGCAGCAGCCGGCGGCGTCGGTCTCGCCGCCGTGCAAATCGCCAAAGCCTTCGGCGCGACCGTCGTAGCCACTGCTGGTACATCACATAAACTCGACGTCGCGCGTTCCTTCGGCGCAGACTACGCCGTCTCCTACCGCGACAAAGATTGGCCCGAGCAAGTGAAGAAGCTCACTCCCAAGGGCCGTGGCGTGGATATCGTATACGACCCCGTCGGTTTGATCGCTCAGTCCATGAAGTGCACAGCCTGGAACGGCAGACTTCTGGTCATCGGATTTGCGGCAGGCGATATCGAGAAGATGGCTACGAACCGCATTCTGCTCAAGAATGTTAGTGTTGTTGGGTTGCATTGGGGTGCGTACGCGATAAACGAGCCTGAGATGCAGGATAAGGTCTGGGATGGTATCTTCCAGCTTGTCAAGGAGGGAAAATACAAGGGCACTGCTTTTACCGATGTGGAGTACGTCGGTCTTGACAGTGTACCCGCGGCGCTAAAGGCATTGGGTGGACGCAATAGCTGGGGTAAGGTCGTTGTCAAGGTACCGCAAGAGGGTGGGAGCAAGATGTAGAGTGTCTGACAACATAATTTGTTAAGCTATGCGCAAAATCCGGCATGAAATGAGAAGCTGGGATTACGGCGTAAACTACTCCACCACTCTCGTCCTAACATACCGCAGAGTCCTCACCTCGAAATCATTACAATCATGACACGACGGCCCAGGCCGTAAAAGCCTACGATCACGCCTCGATACTACAGTCTCTCCCAAATCCCTCTTCCACCGCCTTTCCACTACATCCCCATCCCAAACTAATGCCCACTCTTTCCCCTTCCCCTCTTCTTCCCCATTACCACCAAACCCAAACCTCCACATCTTCGCATACTGTACAACGCGTTCCAACTCCTCCTTCCTCGCCTCGAACGTCTCCAGCACCAACTCCAGCGTCTTCAGATCAGGCAACGCAGAAACGACATGTGCGCCCCAAGATTGCGGGTTGAGCCGCGGATGCCGACCAGCCTTGCGCTGCTCAGCGCGCAGACGCATTGCTTTGGCTGAGGGACGGCCCTCGTCGAGGTTGTAGCGCCCGAACGATGGGTCGAGATGGAGGTTTTTGGCTACGTTCCATGTTGACCAGTCTGTGCGTGTGAGACGTAGTGTGAGATGGGTTAGGGGTTGAGCGAGGGTGACGTGGAGGCTGCGACATGATGGTAGCATGGATTCCGCGGGGGTGGGAAGACGGTCTAGAATATCGTTCAGGCGCTGAGGTTCTGTATTCGGTGAGTCGACTGTGGCCGGTACAAGAACATTGTCGTCAAGAGTGCGTGAGCACCCCTCTATCCTCGCCCATTCTCCATCGCGGAAACAGCGCAGAGGCACCACGTGTGCGCCCTGGTGTCTAGCGTTACCTCCCATCTCTTTCAACACATCCCCCAGCTTCCCTTTTTCTAACTCGCGCTGCTTGATTGTGATATCAAGTCCGCGTATCTGTGCTAGTTGCCATGCTGACATTCCAGCGCTTCGAAGATGTCGAGAGGCATCCATGTGGTACGCATTCACCTTCAATGGCATACCCCACGTTTCTTGATACACCGCTTTACAAGCCAAGAGGAGGGAAAAGGTGATATCAGAAGGATGCAGAGGTTTCCCACCCGCCAAACTCCCAGCATTTTGGCCGTGACCGAGATATTTGACGTGGACGACTGGCATGGGGTTTTTGGGACCAAGGGAGTCGATGGGATAGGAGGCTGTATCTTTGAGAGCGTAGGTATAGATTATCTCTCTGAGTTCCAGAGGAAGTGATGTGAAGAGGCGGCAGTTGTTTTGTGGTTGAATGTTTGATGGATCTAGAGACCATGCTAGTGGTTCACGGTTTATTTTCGTGCGGGCGCATTGTAGATTGACATTTTCGGCTGGCGTACTACCAGTGGACTTTATGTCGCTGGGTGTTGGTTCGTGTGCGGCTTCTTGGGCGGCGTCCAGTTCATCTTGGTAGCGTATGCATTCGTAGCAGTTCCCGCATCGATCGTCAGCCATTGTGGTATTTCGATTGTCTTTGTAGACTGATAAACGGAACTGGGGAGAGTTGTACAACAATGATGGTAATAGGAGGAAATCTATGTAGTGAAGTGGATGACTCAGATGTTGATGTGTATGGTTGCCTGAATGTATGCCGATTCCGTCCTTGCAGTTTAGGCGTCCCAGCTGGGGTGGGTATCCGCCACTTGAACACAAGCGAATCAAGCAAAGCGACTGCTAGGCTCTAACAACTCCCCAAGCGCCTTCCTGATATACTCCTCACCCTCAACCCATCCTCCACCTATCAGTCGCTGGAGCTCCTCAACATTACTCATCCTCAATCCTGGAATATGAGCAAATAACTTCTCAATCACATCCGTGAGACTGCCCTGCGTAATTGCACCAGCAATAGCACGATACATCCCAGACTTACGCGTGTATTTCGCGTCGGAGCAACCAGTCTCTGCCATGGCATCGGCATATATGTCCGCATACTTCTGGATCTCCCATGTGGGCATGTGGGGTGAGTCAGCGAGAGAAAAGTCATCGTTCCAATCACGACGGAGGAAGTCTGGTAGTGAAGCATAACCGATACAGCGAGGGACGGCGAGACAGTTGTCCCAGTCGATGATGCCTGTGACATTGCCATCGTCGTCTACGAGGATGTTCTGTAGATCGAGATCAGGGTGACGGATGACGAACGTCTCGTTCTCGTCGGCGTCTGCGGGGTCTTTCTTCGAAACGGCGATGGTGGGGTGGTCGTGAAGCATGTCGATGATCTTGCGTATTCCAGATACCATGTTCAGTGCATCTTGATCAACATCTGGATCGTATTCAGGGATCGCAGGCCAGTTCTCCTCTAGGTTCAGCTTCCAATAGTCCAGGTTCTTCTTGAATGGTCCATATCGGTACACTTGGGTTGGTCCTTCTAGATCCTCCGCAGTGAGTTCGTACGGCGGCTTCCAGCGATATGAGACTGTAGTTGTTGGCGTCGCGCCCAAAGAGAGTGCGTCCTTGCAATCTACGAGACCAATTTCATTGAAGCTCACGTCTCTTAGCTGTGACATACACTGCGCAAGTGAACGCAGAATATTACGACGCTTCTGTTCCGTTTCTGGAGAAACGCAGTTGGTAGTGACATGATTGCGATCACTAGGCTTGTCATACCAGACGTTTTGCGCGGCTTTTCCTGGCATGCGCTTCATCAAGATGTATGGTGCGCCGATGAAAGAGGTCTCGATATCTAAAGCGAAGTCAACGACTTCTGGTACCGGAATAGAAGTTTTGTTTCGCAGCCACTGCATCAAGGCCACTTCGCAGTGCAGGTTGTGCTGATCGCCTGGCTGCCACCGGGCTGCAGTTCCAATAGCAGGGACTCTGAAAACATATCGTTCGATACGACGGTTTGGAGGCTCGGCTTTTATGGCTGCCATGAACACAACATGATGAAATCCGCCATCCATGCGTTGCGTAACGTGGCATTCCTCTAAAGCAATATCGACGGAGCAGTAGCTCTCGATGACCGAGTGCAGTAGCTCTCTGAATGTCGAATCAGAAATTGCGTGAATCTTTTCCCAATCAAAGCGAGACATTCCGGCTTCAGATGCATCTGTCTTGACGGTAGTGTCGCGATCGTCCTCAGTGCCAGAATCTGCTCCACTCTTTGCACGTGTGCATGTATTACCGTCTTGCGGCTGCGTCTTGTTACTTGGCAGTGGAAGGTCATCACATCCTTGGTATCCTTGTGTGTTTCGCAAGGATGCGCTATCCCTTTGCTGGCTACGGCTCAACGGATCCGAGCTCATGCCAAAGCTCTCCGATATGTCGTTGTGAAGGTTTACTGCCGTCGATGCGTCGCCCATGCCGTCCATTCCGGAACGAATAATCGTAGTTGATCCGTTCGTCGTCGTGTTGCTATTGTGTTGATGTATCTTATCGAAGATGGACCCAGCAAGCCCGAAAGTCAGAGTGGAGGCGACGGATGATTGGCTCCCAGCAACAGGAGTCGTACGTTTGCCGTCAGCTGCGGTGCTTCTGCAAGCGGCCAATCCTTTATCTGCTTTGTCAAGGACGTGATTGTCTTTCGCAATGCTGATATGGTTATCGAACGGCAGCGCAAAGTCTTTGTTTGTAATCTGGTCAACACCGGGCTTAGTGAGATCAGACTCTCGACAGACGCCATCAACTTCCCACCCACCACTGGACTCCAGCTCGAGGCTGAGTGTGAGCGGTTCGAGCTGGTAAGAGTCGTCGCTAGTCTCGGATGTGCGTTCTCCGTAGGTCTTGGGCAAGACGGTTCGACCATGTTTATGGTGGAACAGTCTCCGCAAAGAGTCCAGCATGCGCGATGCTCTTGCAGATTTTGGAGCCTCGATGGCGCTGAGTGCAGGCGAGATAACAGAAGATGCATTGGGCGTTGCCACCTTCGGTTGACTATTCGGCCATAGGCTTGTGATCTTGCTTAGAATGCCCATAGCTAAGTAGCGTTGAGTTGACCACTCGTTATCGTGAGATGGTGGCAGGTTGTTGTAAGGTCCAAGTAAGAATGTGTTTATGTATTAGCAAGAGCCAAAAGCTTTGACTGTGTCCCTCGTGATTCACTACTACCGATCAGTGCGATCGGAAAGCGATAGATTACACTTATGCCTTTCACATGGCCCAGTTCTTGCCAGTTCAAAAGTTCGCAGAATACCCTGGCTTTACTGTTCAATATCAGTACGCGCACATTCAACTCCACTGCTGATCAAATACCCAGAAAAAGACATTCCTTGCCCCCTTAAGAACCCAATAACAGGATCTCGAAGATCAAAGTTCTGGTCCGTTACCTTTGAGAATATCCACCATGGCAGTATTCAATTTGCCCTTCCTGCGACTCTATGGGCCCGGTTGGGTAATCTCCTGGAGTGCCCGTTATTCTAACATTTGGCGAATGACATACGACATGGAAGGGCACCACTGTGCAGAGTCTGGATGCGGCACAATCAAGCGCAGTTGCTTCGAGCGGCTGCATCTCGCATACTGTTGCGTACCCATTCAGATGGCCAATGGTCAGTGGCGGTTCTGCGGCAACCGATTCGGAGTAGAATCTCCTCATGGTTGCTCATTACACCATTACGGCGAGTATGAGGATAACCGCTTCTTCCAGATGGCGAAGAAGAATTTGGAGTATAAGCTCCCGAGCACGTTCCCTCACGAGCAGATCGGATGGCAGATGAACATACTCAAGCTCGGAGACATCCGCTTCTCGTTTACTATGTGCATGGGTCTGATTAATGGTCAACCGAGCTTTGTTCGAGTTCTGAAGGTCTCGCCAGACGGTTCGCCCGCTGAGATCTGTGAGATCGTTAAAGTAGCAGAGAGGGGTTTGCAGCTCACCAAACCTGATGCCAGCAACGATAGCTCCTTAGGCGACAACTCTGCAGAAGCAAATGCAATTCCTCGAAAGCCAGCAGCTCTCTTTAGCATAATCGAGGAGGAAGAAACAAACGAAGAAGCATATAATAATGCCACCTCTTATATGACCTATAACCAGGCTATCATGGAAGCTAGTCAGCAGCGACAGAGGGATGTAAAAGACTCCCAAAAAGCCAGAGCAGCTGAAAAAGCAGCAAAAGCCGCTTCTTCCAAGTCCAAGGCCAAGTTGCAGAAGCCGAAGACCGTAAAAGAGACATTAGCTGCAACCAAGAAGAAAAACTAATTGTCGTACATTAGTCTTGTAAGTACTTCATTTGGGTGTTGCTTTGTTTCCGAGCAGAACTGGCGCAATTCTTTGCTACCGCTGACGACTGTAGTTCCGTAATCGGCCAGGACCAGAATATCGTCGCGCGTTGATGAGAAATCGCAGGTGCTGAGATACAATGTGAATATTCCAGGATGATCAGACATGATGGTAACCACTGGCTGCGCGGCGATGCAGTGTAGAATCAGCATAAGCTTGGCGAGGGAACCTGGCGTTCATGAGATATGCGCGCGGCATGGAAATCTCTTCTCATCAAAACGCCTTAAGCGTATAAAATTAGTTTGTGATGAATGGAATGACCCCTCAGACGTCTCGGTGCTTTTGGTGAGGTATGGTGTTTGGTGATGAGATGTGGATGAGGTTCGAGTTGGAAGGAACTTTGGAGCACTAACCACCAAAGCGCGTCGCTGACTAATTGCCGATCGCCGAGCTCCTTGTTACGCGCATCCGCGTTGGAGCTGCGTCTTACCCTCTGCGTTTTGCTGACTTCTGTCCAGATGTCATTTTCGACTGTCGGTGCGCTTGTTCATCTCTTACGTCTATCAACATGACTACTTGGTGCCGGGCTGGCCCTCATCGTGTCAAGCTTCATACGGGCCACCTTTGCCACCAGTCGCGAGACAAAACCCGGCCCTGAAGTCTAGCCTGAGCATGCGCGAGCTTCTTATTACGAGCATACTCGAAGAACTCAATGTCGCCTTTCGCGTATCTGTGGTCGTTGTAGCTTTATGGGCACGACGGCGAGATGAACGCTGCGAAACCAGGGCCATTACTTGCCATGGCTGTGGGGTGGAAGTAACGGCACAACAGTATGCCTGTTACTCCTGGACCACACTCAATCTTGCAGACAAAATTGAAATGGCCTACACGGATAGTCGAGAGGGGTGTGACAGAATTCACGCTATTGCCAAGTGTCAGTATGATTTGGCGTGACAAGTCTGGGGTTTCCGACTGTCGAACAATGCGACCGCATTCACTCTGAACCTCTAGCAGGCCAGTACTCGCCATCGTTCTCAGATGAGTCTGCGGCTTCATTTCACCCTATGAGCTAGCACCTCTCTCGACTATAAGTTCTTCCACTATTCTCCCACATCATTACTCACCTTCCGAAACCCTACGCCTTCTTTACAGATCAACCAAAACTTCGCCACTTACTCTTTACACATACTATTCACATTCGAAGCTCCAAAACACTGCTTCAGACCATCATGTCATCGGAAGATGAGAAGATAATATCCGCGCTGGCCAATCTAGACATTGGCATGACCGCGTACGAGTCGACAGCTGACTCGAACAGCATTCCAGCCGAGAAGAAGCGCGTCGAAGACGAAGAGATGGACCGCATGATTGCTGAGATGGAGGCAGAAGAGAAGAAACGCGAAGAAGATGAGAATCGCTACGCCGATGAGAAGGCAAAGAAGGCCAACGCTGCCGACGAACATGCGAACCAAAATGTGGCTTGCCCAAGTCAGTCCTCTGCCCCTGTGGGAAACGAAGAGAATGAACCTGGCGATCGTCATTGCGTTGGTCTGGATGAAGAACCAATTCTCTATGATGACGAAAGCGACGATCCCGACGAATTCAACTATCCCGACGACGTGAGTCATGTCGATCCTTATCTAGAACGCGAAGACTAGGAGCCTATCCGAAACATTTCAGACGATAAGTTCAAGGACATCGTCCTGCTATCCGTGGATCCCAGCGGCCAGCTTGCGCGCGCAGATGTCGATGTCCTCTCCCGCTATGAGGGCGCAAACAATCTGGTTTTGACGCTTCACGTCCGCCACAAAGATCAGGACGACCAAGACTATGTCGTCTTAGTACCATCTGTGGGTACGCAACCTCGTTGGCAAGCGGGAGATGCCCACAATCTGAGGGCTGAAGTTGGTATTATGAAACATCTTTTTCAGCACACAACTGTTCCGGTCCCCGAGGTCATCGCATCAGTAGATTCAGTAGAGGAATCCGACTTGGGTGCACCTTACATCCTCATGAAGCGCTTACCTGGCCGTCGTGCTCATGAGCTGTGGTTCGAAGATACCTCGGATTTAAGCCACATTACCGCAGTCCGTATCTCAAAAGAAACCGAGGCAAAGCGCGTCAACATGTTGCGTTCACTTGCCAAGGCTACGGCAGGGCTACAAAATATCGAGTTCAAGGGCGTTGGCATTCCTGTCTTTACGGACGGGAAGAGCAGTGAGACGCACCATGTTGATTATGTATCTGTTTGGAAGGATTACCACAACCTCACTCAAGAGGACCTGGAATCTGACACTCAGGTCGAGAAGTACGGGCCATTCACACCAAGCATCGAGTACTTGACTCCTAACCTGGGCACTCTTTGGCCACGCCTACACGACAAACGACTGAATAATCTTAATGGACCTGACCGCTTCAAAGGGCTAGGCTACAGGAAAATACTCGATATCATCTTTTCGCATCCCGTCATCAGGACTTCCAAACCGTCCAACGCCGAAACCAGCGAGGAAGAGACGTTCGTGCTGTGGAATGAGCTCTACCTCAATAACATTCTCGTCGACGATGATGGTAATGTGACAGGCATTTTAGATTGGGATTGCGTCTACGCAGCTCCACGTTTCGTGGGTTACGCCTCTCTTCCACGTTTCCTCCGCAAAGATTGGCTGGATTACTTCACCGTGCTCGACTTCCCGTGTATGGGATACCAACTGGACCATTACCGCCAGGTTTATATCAAGGCTATGGAGGAGACCGGATGTGATGAAGCACGCTTCACCGCCAAGTCGGGCATGTACTGGGCGATCGAAGATGTACTAATCAGTAAGATGTATGCCCCCGATCTTCTCAAGAAAATCTTGCTTGAGATACCGGAACTGCGTCGCGCGGAGCTCAATGAGTTCGCAATGCTACTGGGGCGAGGCGACTGGCCTGAGGCTGAAGAGTGGCTGACGGAGAAGATTGGAGAGGTTCTGGATAGCAAGCCCCTGTCACGCTGAGGGGTTTATGGAGGGAGTGAGATGTGCTGAATGCGTGCGTTCATCACGAACAGGACCATGAGTACGGAGACTGATCAAGGAGAGCTTAGTAGAAGGACAGGGCAGCTGGTATCAGGTCCTGTCGTCAGAGCTTCTTCAAATATCGTGCGCTGTATAGTGATACGAAATAATAAGTTCTGTTAATATCACACCATTGCTCACTAACTTAAGTGCATCGATGTTTTCCTTTCTTCTCTCGCTATATGTGGTCAAGTGAAGATCGCTACGTCATGGATCGTACCTGACATCACCACTTCCACAAGCACACATCTAAGTACATAAACATATCTATAGCATTCCTAACCTTTCTGCAGCTCCAGATCATCAATCTGTACAAATTCAAAAACAATGCCATCCCCATTAACAATAGTCGTCACCGGCGCCAACCGCGGAATCGGCCAAGGCATCATCAACCTCCTAGCCACCACCCAACATCCACAACCTCTCCACATCTACGCCACATCCCGCGGCGGCGTAGACCTTAAAATCCAAGCCAAACCTCACAACGAGATCCGCTACGCAAAACTCGACGTCTCAGACAAATCATCCACAGCATCCTTCCTCAAGACCGCGCTCAACGACAGCGGCAAAATCGACGTCTTGATCAACAACGCCGGCATAAACAACAACAACAACGAAACCCCCGATGCCGCCGAACAAGTCATCAACGTAAACTACCACGGCACAAAACAAATGTGCCAACTCTTCCTCTCCGAAGGAAAAATGTCCTCCACACCAAACGCCCGCATAGTAAACGTATCCAGTACCGCCTCCTCCCTATCAAACTACCCCTCAGCCACTGCATCCCGTTTCCGGTCCGCGGCTTCCATCTCCGACGTCGACGCCCTCGCCCAAGAATACATCTCCTCCGTGAAATCCTCATCCCAAGAGTCCGCCGGGTTTGGCGCGCCGCCGAAATCGTATCAAGTCAGTAAAGCGCTGATGAACGCGCTAACAGTCGTTCTGGCACGTGAGAACGAGGGCGTGTTAGTGAATTGCTGTTGTCCTGGGTGGGTGGATAGTGATATGGGGAATCAGATTGGGAGGCCGCCGAAGACGTTGGAGGAGGGGGCGAGGATACCGGTGAGGTTGGGGGTTGGGCAGCTTGGTAAGGGAGGGGATGGAGACGGCGGTTTGACACAGGGAACTGAGCCGATAAGTGGTAGATACTATGGGAATGATGGGGTTACGGATAGGGGGTGGGGAAGGGCGAGGGAGTGGTAGATCAAGTCTGTTGTATGTGGTATGGGAGTACAGAATATAGATGATCCTTTTCCCTAAGCGAAGAAGACCGAGTATACACAAACCCATCCCCAAACTTCCAGCGCCACCTCAATCAATCCAAAAACCAACTCGGCACCTCGGGCCCCCAAACCGCCAAACTTTCATCCCCCGCCTCCCCCCACCCCACGGGCGTCTCCTCATTCACCAAATCTCCATCCGCATAATGCTCAATCATATTGCCCGTCGTATCCCACCAATAATCAAACAACTGACTCCCCAGAATATGCCGTCCAACACCCCAAACACTCTTATACCCCTTACTCGCCAACCACTCATGCCCCAAATTCTGTGTATCAAAGTCGTGGACTTCGAAACTGCAATGATGCACATGGGAAGTGGGGTTGCTGGAGAGGAAAATGGTGTGGTGGTCTGTGTAGCCGGGACCGAGGTCGAGGTGCGCGAAGATGGCTACGTCTTTTTGTTGGGGGAGGGAGGGGTTGGAGGGATTGGGGTTTATGTAGAGGAAATCGGTGGGCACGATGTTGAAGGTGCGGGTGTACCATTGCATTTCGGATTGGAAGTTTTGGACGCATAGGCCGTAGTGGCCGAGTTTGTGTACGGCGGCGGGACCGGGTTTGAAGCGTTGGAATCGTGCGATGCGGGGCTTTTCATTTTCGTAGTTTGTTGTTAGGACTTCGGGAAATGGGCCTGGGTCCTTTTTGGTCTGGCCGTGGATTAGGTTTATGGGGAAGCCTTCTGGGTCGTGCAATGTGATCATGTGGCCGCCGCCTGGTGCGTCGGTCAACTCCTCGATAGGACCAGCACCCGCGACTTTCGACGCTTTTTCTAGCTCGGCGTAGCTTTCCACTTCGAAACAGCCGCCGAGGAACTTCTTTTCTCCTTCTTGTGCGTAGTAGACGTATTGATCTGAGCCATAGCCTTTGAACCATTTCTTGCCTGGGGCTTTTTGGGCTACGCTCATGCCGAAGTCACGGAGAAAGGTGGTTATTTCGTCTAGGTCAGGGTGTTGGTAGCGCATGTGCACTAGTTTCGTGAGTTTGATTTGGGCATCGCGGTCGATGTTTTGTTCCTGCTGCCATTGTCGGAGTGGTTTGCAGGGCTTGGGTATGGCGATGGATTGATGGACGGAGGAGCCGCGGTTTGGTGATGTTTCCCGGCTGGGGTTCTGGGAATATAGTCAGTCAGGTTCTGAATATTTGATGTCTTCGTTCATCAAAGAAGAATAAGTTCCAATGGCGACCTCGTGTGTTTGAACATGCCAAAGAGTATCGAGGATGCAGATGTGGGGCCGTTAGAGGTACATACGGCAGGTGTGATTTTGTCGTTCAACTCGTCGAAAGCCATGTCGAAAGAACTCCCAAGTTTCTATCGCCAAACGGATTCGCTGTATAGAAATCAGGCAAAGCAATTCGATGTTTGGTTGCCAATGCAGCCAGCGACGGGAGAGTATATAACCGGATGTGGGGAAGGAGATGGCACCTATGCCGATGTGGGGTCCCGGCATCTTCGTAGGGCTGAAGGCAAGGCACCCTGCATCAACGCCACTGGTTCGCATATACAGCAGATACTGGCTGAGCCCGCATGTGGAGAATCAAGATGATGTGAGATCAGCGTGGCACATGTACAGCCAGCCGCAGTTCGTAAATGATGCTCTTTGTCTGATTATCACTTCAAAGCTCCATCATTTCCTCTTCTTCCACAATAGATTTGGCCCCTTCGACCAAGTTGTTGAGCCATGTACCCAGTCTGAGCGCAGCCTTGCTTATCTGCAACTCTACGATGGGCACAGCGCCTGCAGCATACCCATCAGTCCCAAGATCTGTGTCGTTCGTTACGCGACTCCACACGTAGTCGCAATCCCATTCGTTGCTCTCCTTCGCCCAACTTGTTGCGCATTCCTCCGGTGTAGAAGGGTCGGTACATGAGAGCCACATATACGGCCCGGAGTAGAATTGGTCTTTGCGAATACGAGCGACGAGCCCAGAGAAAAATGGATCGATCGACTCGTGCGAGAAGGGATGGTCGACGTTTGCCGCGAAGTAGGGTATGTAACCGTCCCAAACCTTGTTTGTTAGCAAATCTTATTGCTATCCGTGTAAGATACTCACAGAATGTAACTGCGTGTGAGCGCCACCAAATACCACTTTGTACGTATTGCCTCCTACTTGTCGGCCACTTGCATGTAGAGGCTGATGAATGTCGCCCAGGAAATGAGCAACCCACTTCAACGCATAAGAGCAAGTCAAATTTGCACCTCCCGTCAAATCACCAGCATACACCTGGTCTATGCACTCCCGCAGTATGCTCGTCTGGTTTGCAATAGCACTAACAACGCATCCGCCCTTTGCGCAATCCCGCGCATAGTCTAGACTGCAGTTCTCAGGTTGGCGATCGTGTGTGTCTATCCAGTGCCACTGGTACGAGAAGTGGCCTTCGCTTGTGTGCGCATACGCGTCTGCCCATGCTGCGGAGCGCCCGACTGAGTTGTTGTATTTGGGTTCGAGAATCTCTGCGAGGACGGACGTGGTTTCGGGTGTGAAGAAGGTTTCTGCCATGAAGCCGATCTGATTATGCACTGTGTGGACTTAACGCTGGCTACTCGCGAAAGTGAAAGGACGTACCGTCTGTGTTCCATGCTGTCGCCGAAGCTACAAGTGTAGCTCCTATGAAGATGCTTCGATGCAACATGATACCGGGGGTTAGTAGAGCTATTAGTTTGACGAAACAAGCAGATAGGTATGTATCTAGAGATGGAAGCGTGCGGCGCTTATGTACACTCTGAAGCTTGTGGCTGGGTGGATGCGAGCTGAAAGATAGGGCTGGAAGCCTAGAATCCCATTCCTGCCGTATGAAAAGGTCAAGATAGATCAAAATGAGATTTCGAACGAGCAGTAGTATCTCGAGAAGGAAGAGACGAGATGATCAGTGTCTGGCGCCTCTGTTGTTGACCTCGGGACGCGTGATGCAGCAGATGACGCGCCGTCCACGTGGGGTGGCCGGGGAGATTGCTGCAGGGCAAGCGCACTAGAGCCGAAACGGCAACGCGTATCGCGCCTTCCCCACACGTGCCCAGATGTGAATCACCATCACTGCGCTTTCACCTGCGTCTGTCACATCTGCGGTATTGGAGATGGCATCAGTTCCAGATCCTTAGATAATTAGGGTATGAACCTGACGCGATTTTCTTCCCCAGTCGCGCGGCTGATAGTAGGAACGCATGGAATGGAAGACGGTCGAGGAAGAGAAAGACTGAGAATGCATCGTAGATGGTATTGAAGAGGAGCATCGCTCAACATGTGAAACAAAGCACAGTTGCAGCTTCCTCCCATTTCACATAGGTGAAGTTTGCGCTTCGATAACCGAGAGCTCCTTCCTGTATTGAGGCGAGATGGAAACGGCCTTCACCTTCCTCTTCGCCAGCTCACACCTAGTATCCTTTTCACCACCTCTTCACCTTGTCTGCTCTCTTTCTTCTTCCTATCTATCCGGCAGTTGTCACGTACCTAGACGCGTCTCAACTCCCCTTCCAAGATCTCATTTATCGACAAACATTCCCCGTTACCAGCACCGTCGTCACCATGTTCAAATTACCTCTCCAAACCGCTCGTGGTATCTCCAGATCTGCACCAGCCTCTTTCAAGCGCCAGCTACGACTAAGCTCCAGCTCAGCCTCCGACCGCGCCGGGTGCGTTGACCGAGCCGTCAACGAGCTCCAGGCTGCGCAGGGCATAACGACTACCGGTCGCGTTGTCAACAAGATATGCACGCGCCTCGCCAACGATAGAGCAACGACGCGTACAGAGCAGCTGATCTGGCTTGCGAAATATGCCCTCGATACATCAGCAGCACCCAAGCGCGATAACGATAGCAGCAAGGCTTCGGTATACCAGAAACCCCAAGAGAAGCAAGAAGATGAGCAAAAGTCAACTGCACCTGAGGCGGACGGCAAACGTTCTTGGGAGGGCGTTTCCGCATGGCCGCATATGTGGTAGGTCATGTGTATCGTCATGGCCCGACAGAGAGGCTGACTTGCGTGTGCGAACAGGTAGATTTCCGGTTCAAGCACCTCTTTTCGACCTTGAGCGCTCCTCTGTCAGCGCGTAGTTTCCAGAGCGGTGGGTGTCGAGCGCGGCGCATGGAAGCTCATGATTAGGCAACGTCCTCAGCTGCTCCGGGCCTTCTGAGTTGCTTATGTGGACCGGAGTACCCCATGTGGGCTGCTACAACAACACGAGAATACGCATGTATACGCTTCGATACGCTTGGGACTGTACCAGTAGGACTGCAATATACTCGGCGAGTAGGCGAGGCAGACTTCAGGTGGCTTTGGGTCATCGGTATTTGGTAGCGTTACGATATATGCAGTCACATCTCAACTAGGCCTCCAGACTACTGGTGTGTATTCGGTGAGTTCAGTTCCTAACAATCCAAGTCAACTGAATTAGCGGAGGTCGGTGGACGCCTGACACTTTCAAGCAGCACCCAGATTAGCATTTCCAGTGTCGATCGTTTCAGATGCAATTTGTGACATGCAAATTGGACCGCAGGAGTAGGTAACGAGGCATCGGGGGCTGAGCGATGACGAAGCCCCGCTTGTGGCTTTGATCTATTCATGGCCAATCACACGCCAAGAAGGCCGAAGAGGTCCGCATCATAGCGCATATGCTCTCCCGCGCATGGAATACAGGCTTGCAGCTCCTACGTCTCATTCTTAGTGTAGCGGCTCCTCCTGACGCTCTCTCTTGCAGCTTCGTCATTACCTACAATGCCCTCTTTCTGAGCCTTCTTTTGCAACCATCATGGCGAGTTCAAGTAGCCCCGCGCAGGGCAATGACGCGCCCCGCGACAATGCCCCGCCAACACAGCCATATACACAAACACAACCCACGTTGGTCTTACCTGGTGGTTGACGACAGTTTCATACTGACTTGATGCGTAGCGCGCCCTCTAGTTCACATCACACTCCTAGCGCTAACGATGGTCCCGCCTACGAAGCACCGACCCTTGGGGACCTACCACCCGCATACACCGAGTTGCCAGGCCAGGTCGAGAATGAAGAACTGGGCACCAACGCAGTTGTCGCCGACGATGGACGTGTTAATATCCGAATCGATCAGAAGAGCCGCGCGCTATCACAACTCATCCTGCCACAAATACAGCGTCAGCTCACAAACGCGCAAGAAGATCCCGAGCCGCCTCCACCATACGTCCCAGAATTCCTCGGTGGTGCGCCCGGCCAGCAGCCTCCGCCTCCGCTAAACGTCGTCATACAAGTGGTGGGCTCTCGCGGTGATGTCCAGCCATTCGTCGCATTGGGCAAGGTGCTGAAGGATACGTACGGCCATAGGGTACGGTTAGCGACACACCCGACGTTCAAGGACTTCGTTATCGAGAATGGACTGGAATTCTTCAGTATCGGCGGCGACCCAGCTGAACTCATGGCTTTCATGGTGAAAAACCCGGGGCTGATGCCTTGTTTCGATACACTGCGCAGTGGTGACATTGGCAAGAGGAGGAAGGGCATCGCAGAGATTCTGAGCGGTACATGGAGATCTTGCATAGAGACGGGTAATGGTCTTGGTGTAGATCCGCTCCAGCAGACAGTCGAAGAGTGGATGGGCATCGAGGACCAGCTACCAGAGCAACTGCGCAAACCTTTCGTCGCCGATGCCATAATCGCAAATCCTCCCGCTTTCGGACACATACATTGTGCCGAGAAGTTGGGTATACCTCTACACATGATGTTCACGTATGTCTGGTCTCCTTCAGATACGTGCACCTGCTAATTCGGATAGTATGCCGTGGTCGCCTACACAGCAGTTCCCGCATCCACTCGCCAACATCCAGTCTAGCAATGCAGACCCCACCATCACCAACTACTTGTCATATATCATGGTCGATGTACTGACGTGGCAGGGTTTGGGCGACGTCATCAACAGGTTCCGCAAGGATAGCCTTCGGCTGGATCCCATCAGCGCTGTCTGGGCGCCAGCCATGCTCGCGCGTCTGAAAGTACCTTTCACATATTGCTGGTGAGTATACTTAAATGCTGCTCACAATTTGACTCACATCTCACAGGTCTCCTGCACTTATTCCTAAACCCAGGGATTGGAATCACCACATATCCGTCGCGGGTTTCTACTTCCTGAACCTCGCCTCGAACTATACACCAGCCCCGGATCTTGCAGCCTTTCTCGATGGAGGTGAGCCACCAGTATACATCGGCTTTGGTTCCATTGTAGTGGACGATCCAAATGCCATGACCAAGATGATCTTCGACGCCGTGAAGATCACCGGAAAACGTGCGTTGGTGTCCAAAGGCTGGGGCGGGCTAGGAGCGGATGATCTTGGAAAGCCAGACGGCGTCTTCATGCTTGGTAATTGTCCTCACGACTGGCTGTTCAAACGTGTGTCTGCTGTCGTGCATCATGGTGGTGCAGGAACTACGGCAGCTGGTATCGCAACTGGAAAGCCGACCGTTGTTGTGCCATTCTTTGGAGATCAAGCCTTCTGGGGAGCCATGGTCTCAAGAGCCGGCGCTGGGCCTGATCCCATCCCATACAAGGAACTCACCGCAGAGAAACTCGCCGGAGCTATCAACGAAGCCCTCAAACCGGAAACACTCGATCGGGCGCAGGAGCTCTGCGACAAGATCAAGCAGGAAAACGGCACACATAAGGGAGCTCAGTCGTTCCATCAGATGCTTAATTACGACGAACTGCGATGTGCTCTTATGCCAGACAAGCCGGCTGTCTGGAGACTGAAGCGTACTGACGTGAAGTTGAGTGCTAAGGCGGCTACCGTACTGGCCCAACAAGGCGAAGTAAACTTTTCTGACATGAAGCTGTGAGTAGTCACATACTCAAAATATGGCGAGTGCTAACAGATATAGATACCGACCTCGCGAGTATGTTCCTGATGAAGGCCCTTGGGATCCAGTCTCTGGCGCAGCTGGTGCTATTATGGGAACAGCAACCTCAGTAATGATGGGTGTTGCTGATATGCCGATTCAGACTCTCAAACTACTCAACATACATCCTGATGCCAGATCTAAGAAGGGCAAAGAAAAGGCCACAGGTACCGAAACTTCGTCTACCGGAGAAGGAAGTAGTGGACGCCCAACAACATCGAGGACGGCGACTGATGCTACCGATCGCTCAGGTAGAAGTGGGGCCGCAACACCAACAGCAGCCGATGCTGCTGCTGATCTGGCCCGGATACAGGCGGACAACCCAGCAGTCAAGAGCCCTGGCTCTCCTGGTACGCCTTCACACAGATCATCATTCATGTCTCAAGCATTTGCTGAATCTACCCGAGGCTCGCGATCGCGGTCTCGCAGTCGCTCCAGATCAGTGGCTGGATCGGCAGCGCCAGCCAACACTGGGCCAAAACCAAGCATGGCCGAGAATTGTGAATCTGCAGTAGACACTGGCAAGGGTCTAGCTAGGATTGTTGGCGCTGGCTTCAAGTCACCAATGGACTTCTCACTCAATGTGGCTAAGGGGTTTCACAACGTACCGAAGCTCTACGGAGCAGAAGTGCGACAGGTCGACAAGGTTACCGACTTCCAGAGTGGTATGCGAACAGCTGCCAAGGTATGTTGACTAAAACGCTACGAGTGATGTTTACTGATGTCAATACAGCAATTCGGTTTCGGTCTTTATGATGGCATCACTGGTATTGTGACGGATCCTTACAAAGGCGCAAAGAAAGAAGGTGGCATCGGCTTCGTCAAGGGAGTCGGGCGTGGCATCATGAGCGTGCCATTCCGCGTCATGGGTGGTGCTTGGTCGGTTCCTGGCTATGCTATGAAAGGACTCTACCAGGAAATGGTCAAGAGCAAGGGAAAGAGCGTGCAAAACTACATCATCGCTGCACGTATTGCGCAGGGCTACGATGAAGCATCCGAGGTAACGCAAGAAGAACGCGACGAGATCGTCAAGAAGTGGAGTCACATGAAATGGGGAATAAAGAAGAAGCGCAACGTTGGAGCTGAGCAGATGGACTCGCTCCATTCACTTGTCCAGCAGAAGAAGGATAGAAAGGACAAGCGCTCTGCTATACTCGACTCGCATGTCGGTGCAGTAGCCCAGCCGTCAGCCCACACGAACTCCGTTCCCCAGGGCAGCGCAGCAGGCCAATACCCCGACCCCCCACGCAGACGCGGTGTCGAGCCTGAGATCCGGTCAACGATCCCCAGTTGGCGCCAACAAGAAGCCGAACGAACACGCGCACTAAGACGGCAAGAAACCCCCATATCAGGCTCCCCATCAATCGCATCATCAATCGCCCCATCCCAGCAATCACAAGCCGATCTCGAAGCCCAACTCCGAGCCGAAGAAGAAGAAGACCAACGCGAACTCGAACGCGCCATCGCCGCCTCCGTCGCCGAATCCTCGCGCGGCGACCCCGAAGAAGACCGCCTCATCGCCTCCGCAATCCGCGCTTCCATCGCTGAACTCGAAAACGCACCCCCTTCGAGCGGTGCACCAACACAACAAGACGAGGAAGCAGCGCTCCACCGTGCCATGACAGCCAGCATGTCCGAAGCCGGCAGAACCGACATGACGGCAGAGGAGAAGAAGGCGCTTGAAGAAACGCTCAGAAAGAGTTTGTCTGAAACGAGCAAGCGGACGAGACGAGACAGCGATCACCGTGAATGGGGTTCTGATAACGATACCGAGGATGATGAGGATTATAAAAGGATTATCGCTGAGTCGAAACAGCTTGCGATGATTCATGCGGAGCATCCGGATGAATATGCGACGTCGACGCGAGGCGCACAGCAGGAAAGCGGTGTTATGGATGCGATGAGTCAGGCTATTGGTGGTGGTGCTTCTGGTCCGACGCCGGTTTCTCCACCTCCTTACGCTCATCCTTCTGCGAGTGAGCCGCGTGGGAGGGATGTTGATATGGATGCAAGGGCTGCGCCTCCTCCACTGCCTCATCGCATTACGATGCAAGACAACGACAACGACGACGAAGATGCAGA